ATCGTGTGGACCATGGTTCATACAAGTTGTGTGGACTATATTTTGTATACTGTAAAATAATGTATATTCAGTACAAAAATAATGTACATTATATTCAGGGGATGTACATTATTTTTGTACTGAATGTACATTATATAATATAATGTACACTCAGTACAAAAATAATGTACATTTAGTATATTAAAAATATATTTTGTTATGATCCATATAACACTGTGTTGATCATTGTCCATACAATAATTTGCCGAAGTAAGAATGGTCACATGTTTTGTTATAAATTATGCCCTGGAAACGTGTTCACCATGAATGGTGAACACGGGTCCAAACAGCGCCGTTTTTACGTTAAAAAAAAAATAAAAATTCACTAATGTGGTGTTAACAGCGCGCGTTTGGTCAGATTATGAATTTTCTGTTATGAGATTATGAATGTACTGTAAATTCATAATCTCATAATAGAAAATTCATAATCGCATAAAAGAAAAACATTTATTAAATTATGAATTTTCTGTTATGAGATTATGAATTTACTGTAAATTCATAATCTCATAACAGAAAATTCATAATCTCATAACAGAAAATTCATAATTTATGAACGTTGAAGAAGCTTGCGCTACAGAGGAGCAGCCATGGTTTCGGACAGGAATGTGTAGGCATGGTTCCAAAGTGAATGTACAGGCATGGATTCATAATTTATGAATGTCCGAAATCATTGCTCACCTCAAATTAAAGTGAAACCGCAAAATGTGAAAATGAAGAAGAAAAGTCACGCAATTAATTAAGGAAAAAAAAAATAACGGTGCACTAACACCGTTGAGACCGTGTTCACCATGGATGGTGAACACGGTTCCATGGCATAAGGATTGCATGTTTTGTTCGGCCCATGATTTTAATTTCAGAATGTTGGGCTGGACAGAGGTGCCCAAAAGGAAAGCAACTTCAAAATCTTCAAAATGGGCTAGATACTGGTGTCGAGATTCCAAATGAAATGTCCATATTTTTGACGAGAAATCCCACCGTCATTCAGCTAACTAATTGAGCATAAGAGCCCAGTACTTTTCATTTCAATAGTTATGTTATGCAACCGAATGCACCATGCGCATGGTGCATACGATCCAAAATAATGTTGTTTTGATTAAAAATGCACGTTTCACTTTAAAAAAAAAAAATCAGGTTCGATTCTCGGCAATAGCATTATTGTGGATATATAGTTATGAATTTCTGGATATATAGTTATGAATTTCTGGATATTTAGTTCATTCATTGTGGATATTTAGTTCATTCATTCACTGTGGATATATAGTTATGAATTTCTGGACATATAGTTATGAATTTCTAGATATATAGTTATGAATTTATGGATATTTAGTTCATTCATTGTGGATATTTAGTTTTATCATTGTGGATATTTAGTTCATTCATTGTGGATTTTTACTTCATTCATTCACTATGGATATATAGTTGTGGATTTTTACTTCATTCATTCACTGTGGATATATAGTTATGAATTTGTGGATATATAGTTATGAATTTATGGATATATAAAAATCCTATTGCCGAGAATCGAACCTGATTTCTTTTTTAAGTGGGACGCGCATTTTTTTTAACTAAAACGACGTCGTTTTGAACCAAATGCACCATGCGCATGGTGCATTCGGTTGCACAGCATAATTTGCGTTTTCATTTTCCACCTTATACCTGGACTTAAATTAGATTCTTTAGTTAATTAGATTTTATTTTTTCAAAAGATGATAATTGATTTAAAAAAAATTGGCAAACTTTTAACATTAAACTAAGTAGCTTAGTACTCTAATTCTTTATATATTGATGGATATATTGGAAATGACCCAATAATAATAGAAACCCAGGGTCCGGAAATGTATAATTCGAGTTGCCCAAGAAGAGTCTCAAGTTTGGAGCCTGCTTCCAGGCTCGGAATGATGGGCTTTGACTTAGTCTTATAGCTCATCGTATGGGTCTGGCTTAGTCTCGTGGCCCACCACAAATTTAACACTAATTGGTTGAGATTTCCTTGGCATAAATAGGCTTGTAATTTTCTTGTTAAGACATCTTGATCTACCTTGTCTGAACGACAAATCCTTTGTAATAGCTTTGCAATACGAGTTAATACAATATGCAGTCCCCGCAACCTTAAGACATCGTTTTACCTATTTTTCTATTTACGTTCTTAGTCGGTTTTAGTAATTCGGGCTACCCCGGGTTAATTAAATCCATCATATATAAAAAAGAAAAAAAATACGCGGTGGCAATTTCATAGTTTTCTACAACATGTATATTTCGGCGTTGCACTATGTGCTAGTGTGTGGTACACTTATGAGTGCTTTTGTGGTGCACTTTGAGTGATTTATAGTGCACTTTGTATTGCACCACTCAATGAATTTATTGAACCAATGACGTTTTTTCCCTTTTTGGTGTTGCATCACAGATAACTCATAAGTGCACTATACCACCCATAAGTGCACCATCGAAATATATCAAGTTTAATTTTGTGGTGCGCTAAGTACTGGTATGTAGTGCATTTGTGAGTGCTCTCTACTGCACTTTGTATTGCATAGGGATGTCAACGGGACGGGGCGGGGTGGGGGCGGGGGACATGCCCCCATCCCCGCCCCCGACTTTCTTCCCATTCCCCGTCCCCGTCCCCATCCCTACGAGGATTATTCAGGGACGGGGAATTCCCACCCCATTAATAAGTTATAAAAAAAATAAAAATTAAACATTAAAAAACATTTAAATAAATAACGCATATATGTTCATTCCCAACTTAAAGTAGTATTCAATATTTTACAATTAAACATGTTATTTAAATATGCATTTCAAAAGCATGACATACAATGACAAGAATGCTTCTAAAATTATATATATTATATACAAAGTACTACATATGTGTGTGTTGTCTCTCTCTCTCTCTCTCTCTCTCTATATATATATATATATATATATATATATATATATATATATATATATATATATATATATATATATATATATATATATATATATATATATATATATATATATATATATATATATATATATATATATATATCGGGGACAGGGCGAGGCGGGGAGAGTACTTCCCATCCCCGCCTCCGTTCCCGGCGGAGAATTCAAAATTGTCTCGATCCCCATCCCCGATTCTCTATTTCTGTCCCCATTCCCGTCCCCGTAGGAGCGGGAAATCGGGTTCCCCGTCGGGTGCAGGTACAATTGACATCCCTAGTATTGCACCATTCAACGGGTGTATTGAACCTACCGTTTTTTCTTTTTCTTTTTTTTTTTTGGGTTATACACTGCAATTCACTCATCAGTGCACCACATACTAGCACTTAGTGCACCATCGAAATATACATGGTGCACAAAATTACAAAAATGTCACCGTGTTTTTTCCCTTTCTATTGATTTTCAGTCACTTGGTGGTGCACCACATAGCATCAAGTAATGCACCACAAAGCACTCATAAGTGCACCGGTCACTAGAACTTAGTGTACTATCGAAATAATACTTACTCGTTTTTTCCCTCCGTCTAATTTGAGTTCATCCTACGGGTCTAATATGTCTGCATGATCGCATGGGAGAGCATAACCACATACGAACTTGGATTTATATAGGTCTATGCTCGATCTGGTGCGTCGTTGTTCTCCCGTACAGTTGTGCGGACATATCAGAACTGTAGAATAAGTTGAGATAAGATAGATGAAAATCAATAAAGATGAGAAAATACGTGGTTTATAATATATAATTTATTAGTATATATAAATCAATTGGATGTCACATATTGTATATGAGGTCGTTGGCATATTGTCGGAGGAGATAATAATAATGAGTAAAAAAATTAAGTGACGAAGTGATTACTTGCTAATTAATAATGTATTTTATTGTGCAAGTTTGCTTTATAATATTTTTTTTAAAAAAACTATCCTTTTCAACAATATTTTGAAATAATTCACGTCTCTATAAAATATTTCTACATGGATTTGCATATCTTGCATGCTTTAGATTTGATGACCTAACCACAGGGACGGAGTCAGAAATTATGTTGGGAGGGGGGGGGGGGCAAGTAGGGATAGATTCAAAATTTTTTTCCAGTAAAGACGAAACATTAAAACAAAAGAGATAATTTTTAAAAAATAAATAAATTACCTAAGAAATATAGTTGTATAAAATATGAAACATACGAAGTAATTAATTTGATAAAATAATTTGAATAGAAAACACATTATAAATTACAAATCTCATTATTAATATAAAAGAATGTTATATATACGTGTGTTGAAGCCATAAGGAAGGAGTCAAAAAAACTGTAAAAATATGTTAATGCCAAAGGATTCAAACCCTTGACCTTTATTATAACCAAACATATGCTCTACCAACTAATCTAACTCATTTCTTGTTGACATTTAGTAGACTAGTAGTTGCACATGTGCGATGCACCGCCATATATATAGTATATGGAATATACCGTGTAAAAAATAGTAATTGAAAATATAATAAATTTGAAAAGAAACAAATTGAAATTTTATTACACATTGTTGAAGACTTCTTTGTACAAAATATTTTTTGTCTTACTTAGACATGTATCATTTTCGCCACAAATCAATATTTTTAAAAACCTTGGATTACTAACTCTTGAAACAGCTACGTACATTTGACCATGGTTAAAGACGGGTCTTTTTAAAAACAATCTCACTTTTGAAAGAGTTTGTCCTTGGCTTTTGTTTATTGTCATGGCATAGGATAGCATCAAAGGAAATTGCTTTCGTTGGAATTTGAAAGGCAATCTTGGATTTGACGGTGTAAGTGACATTCTGGGAATCAATACTCTAGTACCTGCATTTGTACCGCACCTAATCTTTCCAAAACGTGATCAACTAACCTTGTTACAATTAATCTTGTACCGTTGCATAAGCCAAGAGTGTGATCAATATTTCTCAAAGCATAACCGGTGACCCAACTTTCGAAGTCAAAGCATGATTGGGTACTCAAGAACATCGCAGACCATTCAAGAATTCAGGAGTGTGCAAATCCGCTAACATATCGGTATTTGAATCTGATTTACAAACTGAATCACAACTCAAGTAAGTCCTACCCTCAGCTGGATTATGATCATTCATGTATTTGTTAATGCTATCTACCACATCCAATGTTGGAGCCAATATAGCACTATGCTTAAGATATGACAGATCCTCATTACCACGTCCAAAGCTAGGGAAGATGTTATCAACAATTGTAGCAATAGGATCATCATCAGACCTGAGCAAAAACTCATCTGGAATTGTAAAATCTGCTTCACCATCACTTGAATTACCAAGTGTACCGTCACCTATATTAGCTATCCAGTTTGCAAACTCTTCAATTTGTTTAGCCTCAATCGGTGATTATACACTTCTTAGGTGTAGATTCTTAGTTAGCCTAAATACTTTACAGGATCTCCAAAGATATGACGAATTTATGCTCGCCCCAACAATATCTTGTCTTGTGCCTTTTGGAATTACTTGTAGAATTGCCTAAAATCACCACACAAAATAACCGTTTTACCACCAAATGTCATATCATAACTATTTGGATTTCTAGAGCGCAACAAATCCCTCATAGTTCTATCTAGGGCTTCAAAACAAAATTTGTGCATCATTGGAGCTTCATCCCATATGATCAACTTGCTTTGCATAATAAGCTCAGCCAATGGGGTTTTCCCGTGTTACGACCCCTAAGATCAATTAAATCATTTAATCAATTACCCAAAAGAAAGAATTAAATCACAATAATTAATTAGGAAGGCCCACCATAGTCCACGGGCCCTTATCCCTAAACCCAATCCTTAGTCCCAAAAGAAATAGAACTAGCAAGCCCATAATATTAGTTCCTAACTAGGACTCCTAAATATATAAATAGGGACTTAAGAGGCACCTAGAAACCCCCCACAAGAATAACGCCCCACCTCCCCAAAGAGCTCCAAGAATCCCCCTAGAAGAAATCAAGAAAACAAGAAAGCTTAAAGAAAGACCCTTCATAGCCAAGGAATTAATTAAGGCTAAGAGGTAACCCATGTCTCAACAAAACCTATTTTCATAGCTATGATTTCCCCCGTAGGATCCCCCCATATTATTGTGTATTGATGATTTGTGATGTTATTATTGATGATTGATGGGATAATTCCATGGGTGATCTTGATATCGGGAGATTCTTGATAATTATGGTGTTCTTAACGATTACGTGGAGTTCTTGATAATTATATGTTGTTCTTGATAATTGTATGGCGTTCTTGATACTTATGTGTTATTTGTACCGAATCTTGTAATTAGAAGACGAATCGTATTCTTGTTGGCATAAAAGTGATTAGAACCCTAGGTTGTATCGTATGGAATTATTCTTGGTATATTGGGTGGGAATTCGCATGATTGGGTGTTTATTACGTTTAGAAAAGCATGATAGGTTAGGTGCCAATTGTTTCCTGATTTTGATCCGTTAATTGTCTACGTGTGTTATCAATTGCGTTTGAAAGTGTCCAAGCATGGTTTCGGGTTCCACAAAGGTTCCCGGGGCGTTTCTTGATGAAAAGAGTCAGTGGGGGGTAGGTGGGGGTAGGGGACCCGCCACCTACCCGCGGCCTCCTTGGGCAACGCCGGCAGCGGGCAGCCGGCGGGCGGGCAGCTGCCTGCCGGGCACCCGCTGCCCGGTTTTGTTACCGCCGGCGGGTGATCCCTCACCCACCGGCTACTCGCTGGTTTGCACCCCAATTGGGGATTTCGGCTTCCCCGTTTGATGTTTCCCCGACCCCCGTGGTGTCCCAACGGACTCCGTCTATCGTGCCTATGTCTAGTCTGATATTTCGGGTACCGTTCGTAGGTTGTATGAGTCTTATATATTGCATGCTAGTTGAATTGGTACCCCGCTGACCTAGGTGAAAGGAGTATGAACCCTTTAGGACTATTCTTAGCATGTGAAGGATCACGCATAGGTTTTGTTATACGTTTCCTCCCCTTCCCAATATGTTTATGTGGGTTGCATGTGCTTGCTACGTGTTATGTGTGCGTGCCACCCCGAATTGGTTGAGATCAATCAGGCTATACGGGCAGTCGGGTGGGCTGAGAACCATACCGGCTGTTAACCAGGCTGGTAGAGACCGGTCAGGTATATAAATATTATATAGGACTAAGTTCCACTATACGGGCAGTCGGGTGGGCTGAGAACCATACCGGCTGTTAACCAGGCTGGTAGAGACCGGTCAGGTATATAAATATTATATAGGACAAAGGTCCACTATACGGGCAGTTGAATGGGCTGAGAACCATCCCAACTGTTAACCAGGCTGGTAAAGACCGGTCAGGTATATAAATACTATGTAGGACAAAGGTCCATCAGTCGGTTGCGATCGGCTCCTCCGTAAGGTGAGACGGGGCAGGGTGTTGCGGGGCCGTGTCAGAGCTATATGCGCTGACCCTCATGTATGGGCATGCGATTGGTCCTGTGGCGCCAACAAAGTGTGCTATGTGATGAGATATGGAGGAGTTGTGTTTATGAGTATATTGGGGGACGTGACTAAGGGATTTATGCTGGGGATTGTTTACATTGGGTTATGATTATTAATTGTGCTCAGCTTTATCTGTCTTGCCTGTTGAGAATTGTATACGCCTGTTATAACTGTTGCTTGGGTCTAGCCTTATCTGTCGAGTCATTCCCGGTTTTAAAAGCTAGAGTCTCGTAGGATATATCTCCATGCTTCAAAATGATTTTCGTATATCTATATGTATTGTATTTCAACGCGTTGGAGTGGGTTACCAGCATCTCTCGCTGAACAGATATATTTGGCTTTCAGGCACAGAAGAATAGGTCACCGGAGCGCGCTAGAACTTGGAACGTAGAAGTAGATAGTTTCCCCTTCGGCTTGCATGCCATGGTTATGCATTTACATTACTAAGGATATTAGATAGTTAGCCTGTGCACCTGGGTTCTCTAGCTCAGGTGTGGCATAGCACCCCGTACTCTTGTATTATGTTTTGAGATTTAATGGGATTCCACCTTTATTTTATAAGTTTTAAATATCTTGAAAATCTGGGGTGTTACAGGGGTGCCCTAACTTATGTTGCAAGTGGAATCTTCATTGACAGATATAGGTATGGCGAACCGAGAATGTGCAGTCCTGCCACCTGGTAATATGTTGATTAAAATGATGTGAAATCATATTTGTTACTCATCTATTGTGACTGAAAATGTAAATTACATGATCTTATAGGCAATGATTGCAGATTTGTTAATTTGCATCATCTCCAAATTATGTGTCTGTAAATTTTTGTATGATTTATTCAAGTTGAGATCTTAGATGTTCATTAATTATAGTTGTCAAAAAACTTTTCACTTCAAAAGTTATCTGGAAAACAGTTTATTCTTTATTGAACTTGCTATGACTGTTGCTATTTAATTTCTTCTTTAAATAATGGTGTTCAGAACTGAGTAATGATGTAGATTCTTTATTGATTATTTCTGAACAAATTACTATCATTTTTGTTCCCAGAATCTGGCCAATGATGAAAAAGATTTCTGATGCACAAAAGTTGTTTAATTTCTATTTGTACATCTTTTTAAGATCAAAGCATTTGTGGTGTATTAATAGACTTCAGCTATTGTAAAAATGCTTTTTGAAAGCACTTTGTAGTATATTCTTATAATTTAGTCATCTCGACAAGTGTTTATTTCCCAAACTTTTTCCCCCTTTTGCAGCTATAATTGTTCACTTCAGAAAATAAAGCCCTAAAATTTCAACACTACAAATTAATGTAAAAATTATAAGTTTTAAAAATTCTCAAAACTCATTTTTATATATGTCAACAAACTTCCATTTAACAAAATCCAACTTTTTAAACATTCATAATGAACTGGATATATAATTAGAGAAACTTGTTTGGTTCATTAAGTGCCATTCCAATTCAATACTTTAGTTCCAAAAGAATAAAGAATTAGTATTTTACAATTTCTAATACACAGTGGAGTGCTTATAACCTAGTCAGAAAACTACAATCCTGCTAATACACATTCTAATATAAGTTTTACAATTATTAAAAACTCATTTAATTCCAGCACCCAACCCGGGTTGTCAACAACACCTGACCTGGCATCGCATGAAAAGCCAACGGGCAGAACTCCAACGGACAGAATACCAACGGATGGAAACGTTACAATGAGACATTTACTACGCTCATTCAAGACAAGGAAATAATTGCTCAGCTCCTCATTATAATATAGCTGTTACGTACCGTTAGTAGACATGTATAAGTAGATGATTCTTGGATGAGGAGGGGGGACACTAAATTCTGTACTGAAAATTTGCAATACAACTATTGTTATTCTCATATTATATTTCCGGTAGCATACTTACCATCATTGGTGCTTTGGTAATCATAGTCCGCCCAGGTTATTTGCTTATATCTTTGAATAGTATCTTGTAATCATGGTCCGCCCATGTTATCTACTGAAACAAGTTCGTTATCACCGTTTACAAAGCGAAAGCGTGTTCAAAAAAAAAACAAAAACAAAAAAAAAAAAACAACAACAACAACAAGCGAGGGCCGAGGACTGCCTCGGCCTCGGCCCACGCCTCGGCCAGAGCTAAAGCCCATCTCGGCCTGTATATATATATAAAAAAAAAACAAAAAAACAAAAAACAAAAAATCAAAGGCGTAGGACGAAGTGCCAAATAACGAATCTATTTCGAATTAATTTCAAAGTGTGCGAAAGTAATTGTCTGACAACGGTATTTCAAGCATAAAATCAAGCATAACAAAATAAGAGGATAATAGTCACATTATTCCAAGCAAGCTAAAGAGAGGGACTACTCCTTGTCCGTAAGATCCTCGTTCACAATCTGCTCAAGAGGAGCAAAGGGAACGCCGCTGATGTCGACACCAAGGAACTCGTCCAGAGGGGTACACTCACGGGTAGCATCCTTCTCGGCAGACAGGCCTTCAGCTGCATCATTCTTCGCATCAGGATCAGGATTTTCTTCTATCACAGGCAAGCCGAGGACCACTAGATCGAAACCTGGAATCTTTTCGCGCAGCATTGGGAATATTTGTTGTTGCTTTGCGTACATCCCAACCTCGAAAGCAACTTGCGCCTCGGCTTCGATCGCTTCCCGGCGAGCTTCAGTGTTGAAGAATTCACGGACAGCTTCAGGGTTGCTCATGTAGCTCATCACATCCTCCTTATACTTGGTGGACCGCTTATAAATCTCTCCCGCCTCGCGAAGGGCAGCGACATGGGTAGCGCGAGTCTTCTCATGATCCTCCTGCTCCTTCTTCAACGCTTCCTACTCCTTCCTCAAAGCAACTATAAGTGCTTTGTGTTCCTTCCTTAGTATCCCTAGCTCACCTTCCATATTGCTTAGAGCTCCTTCCCAGGCCAACAGCAGGTCCTTGAGGCTTTTATTGTCCGCACCGAGGCCTTTAACATCCTCGACAAGTGTGTCCGTCACTCATAGGCGCTGGGCATGAATGACTTGTCCCTCCAGCATAGTCTGCAATACTGCACAAAGTGAGATATGCCAAAACAAGGAAGACGCAACCTAGAGTGGGAGAAAACTAACCTCAAAAATATGTC